TACCAAGGAACCCATTCATATTGTATTGTTCCAAAGCATCGCTTTGTTATGGCAGAATGGCTACAGGAATTAAGCTTTGATGATAAATTCAAGGAATCTTTAATTAAAGACAGATCACTTTTTGAAGCTGGGGGATCCACCCCCAGTAACTCCAATAGGGAGACAAATATAAGGGAGTATGAGAAGTTGAAACGTAGAGAAATTAGGCTGGACTTGCATGCAACAACATTGGCGGAATACATTAGAGCCAATAGAATACCTAGGGGACTACGTATTTTCAAACCCCCAGGGATGTTCCAAGATGATGAGTCTTTTCATCAAAAATGGGTGGCAATTCTCAACAAATGTTCACAGGACTTGATGCTCCTACTAATTGCACGTTCGAACGAGGAAATTGCCATCGTAAAAACTCAGTCTCAAGGCGTGCTAGAGAAATTTAACTCTGATACGCAATTTAAAATTGATTTGGACACCCTCACAAATAAACTCAAGGAATTTTCCACACAACTTAGATCTTTTAAACTGAAAAAGTTTGAAAGGGACGAAAATGATTACAAGAATAACAAAGTTTACCAGTGGCTATACTCCAAACACTACCACTCTAGAAAACAAGTACGGTTTAGTGAATTCACTTCTGAGGAAGACACAGGCTCTATGTCGGATAGTTCAGGACATAGTATGGCCTCATACAGGAGGGACAACAGCCACATACCTAGACGTACGGGTCGTATTAGAAACAAACCTAATCGTTTTTTTCAAGAGGCTCCAAATGTGAAACAGAAAACTTAATAGTGAATTTATCCAATAGAGTTTTAACCCCTCAGGAAGAGCACGTTATCAATAAAGGACTAACATTTGTCCCCAAACCCAAATATAATCCATTTAAGATGCGTATAGAATTAGCTAGGCTATTCCGTACCATCAGATTAAGACAGCATTTTGGGACCACGAAAAACATCACTACTTCTACCTTCAAACCTCGTAGTAACTTTTTTCCTAGCACAGACCATATAGGACTTAGGGTTTTTGAAAAAACAGTATGTGAGGAACTATGTCACACATTCACAAAAAACAAAGGGACACACAGTACAAACTTTTCTAACAGTGAGTGGAACACGCTTCGTAGTTTAGCCAATGACAAAAACCTCATTTGGAAGCCGGCTGACAAGGGTGGAGCCATAGTGTTAATGAACCATACTGATTATATGAATGAGATCCACAGACAATTATCAATAAGAGAACACTATCTTAGTATAGAACGGGATCCCACACATCACATCCAATCTATTATAAAAACAGTGACAATGGAAGGACTGTCACTTGGATATATATCAGAGGATGTATATAAGTATCTACACACTCCATGGCCCAGAACCCCTGTCCTGTATATTCTGCCAAAAATACATAAGAACATCAGGCCAGTTCCGGGCCGTCCTATCATATCAGGATCAGGCTCCATTCTAGAACCACTAGCAAAATTTGTGGACCACCATTTACAACCCTTTGTAAAACAGACTTCATCTTATGTTAGGGACACTAAACATTTTATTAATATCATTGAACCCTTGGTGATTCCAACAGATGCTGTTCTGATGTCTATAGATGTAACTTCACTGTACACTAGCATTCCAATAGAAGAGGCACGCACTATATGTGAGTCTACTCTGAACAGGAGATCAAACTGTCACCCTCCCACTTTCTTTTTGTTGGACCTCCTTGATATCATTCTCGAAAAAAATTTCTTTAAATTCGACCAAAAATATTATTTTCAAATACAAGGAGTGGCCATGGGCAGCCCTGTTGCACCTTCAATAGCAAATTTATTTATGGATAATTTGGAAAACAATATAATTTTGAATCGTGCATATAACCCTGTAGCGGGTAGCATAATCAAATATTGCAGATTTATTGATGACATTTTCATCATTATAAACTCACATCATGAGGCAGAAACATTATTATCCTGGATCAATACAGTACACCACAATATCAAATTTACAGGGAACATCAGTGCCACATCCTTGGTTTTCCTGGATGTTATGATTATAAAAGAAAACGACCGATTGAGGGTGAGAAACCACCGTAAAACCACGGACAGAAACTCCCTGTTACACTACAATAGCTACCATCATTGGGCATTAAAAAATAATCTACCGTTCTCACAGATGCTCAGGATTAAACGTAATTCCTCGACCCAACAGGATTTCACTCACGAGATTGAGGTAACGAAACGACAGTTTAGAAACCGGGGATATCCTGAACATATAATACAATCATCTTATCTAAAAGTAGCCAACATTCCCAGGTCTAAATTACTAGAGAACAAGACTAGACCTAGAGTAGAAAGATTAATATGGCCACTTACTCTCACTAACATGTCCAATTTAGCCATCAGAACAATTAAAAAATACTGGAACTTAATAAGGGACATCCCGGGCTGTGAAAGACCCCCACTAATAGCATATAAAAGAACCAAGAGCATTGGGGATTTTTTGGTACATTCAGATTTAACACATAATGTTCGGACCATGAAATCAAATCTAATTGGCAATTATCGGTGCCATCATTGCTCAGTGTGTAACCAATTGGTGGAGACTAAAATCTTTACACACCAACACCCACCATTTACAATTAAATTCTCCCATTTTGCCACATGCATAACCAAGGGGGTTATTTACGGGATTATTTGTGAATGCAAACTGATGTACGTGGGCCAAACTCGTCGAGAAGTGAAGTCTAGGATTATAGAACACCGGAGCAAAATTAGAACTAATTCCAGAGATTCCATACTGTATAAACATTTTGATGATCTACGGCACAACCCTGAATCTTTTAAATACCACATATTAGAAGTAGTCACACAATCCAAACACATGGACTTTAACACTAAACTCCTACAAAGGGAAACATATTGGATCTTCAGATTACGGACGGAACACCCATATGGTCTCAATGAACATAATTCATACAGTTGCTATATATAACTTTGAGGTTTTTTGCATTATCCCTTGTATACTACACATCCCTGGGAAGTACATTACTCACAACGCCATCTAGTGTTGACATTTTCCACACCTGTAACTTTAAATGAACCTTAAATCAACTTCTCTGCCTCCTCTACATCTGATGTTCATTTTCCTCTTTAAATAGAGGAAACCCCCAGAGCCTGTCCATACTCGCAATTAGAATCAAACTCAGAAGCAGAGTATCTTGTGAGTATACACCTAATTGGTGAAATATATTGGGAAAACATTTATTTAGATATATGTATATTTTTTTAAATGTTAATAGCCACAATTTGTTCCTTTTACCTAGATCCCATTGCATAAAACTTAAGTATCTCTTATGAGAACATATGTAAAAGACTGAACTTTGTGAGTATTTCTAAATGCATTCTATCATATTATGTTCAATTGTAAAATGTATTGATGTATGTAATATTGGTGAAATATATTGGGAAAATATTTATTTTGATATATGTAATTTTCAAATGTTAATAGCCACAATTTGTTCCTTTCACCTAGATCCCATTACAAAAAACTTAAGTATCTCTTATGAGAACATATGTAAAAGACTGAACTTTGTAAGTATTACTAAATGCATTC